AATATATTTTATTTTTAATTAAAATAAATTTGATCAATAATTCTTTTTAATTTTTTTTAGTTTGATAATTTTAATTAAAATAAATTTTATCAAACATTTTTTCTAAATGTAAGTATTTTTTTTGTAAATGTAAGTATTTTTTTGTTATATTTGTTTAATTTTATAGATCTAAATACTTTTTGGTTCAAAAAATGTTTAAGAACTTAATCGTTCAAAATATGAATGTTCATTGGGATTTTTTCTATTAATTTATCACATTAACCAGTTGTATAGGTCATAAGAATATATGTAACAGGTTTTAGAAAGTTCAATGAGTTATTTAACATGTTTTGAAATGTCCAATGACTTATTTGTTCCAAAAATTTGTTCAAAGACTTAATTATTCCAAACACTAAAGTCCATTGGGTCTTTTTAGACTTTTCTCTTAAAAATAATAAAAATTTGCAAAACTATATTTATCTTGTTGGATTTCAGGTATAATACAATTATCATATTATTCTAAAAGTTTATAAAGTTATACTTTAGGTAGTGTTTCGTACGCAAACAGGACGGGACATGACTAATTGTCTGTCTTATGTTTGATACGACTAAGACAAGACATGACAAAACTGTTAAAATGACCATATTACCCTTAAATGTTATTTTATATCATATAATGATTGTAAAATGACAACAAATCAATCAAGATATATATATATATATATTTTAATTACATAGTTTTTGTAATCATCAAGTTTAATACATTAAATATATATCCAAAAAAATGACAAAAAGGTGTTGACAAGCCGACCCGGCAATTGCACTAAAATATTACCCATTTTGACCTGTTATTCTACACACATAATTTAAAAAGTTTAAACACAACAATTGTAAATAATATTTGTCACGATGGAGGCGATAGCTACACAAATGGGATGAATTAGGTTTTCTATTGGAATGAAATAACAAGGGTAATATTGTTATTTTAACTTCAGTCCCATGTTGTTCCACCCTTTTTTGGTGGAACAAGAAATATCAAGATTTGTCCCATAAAAATTAAAAATAGTCTCACCTTGTCCCATGTTTTTTTTGTTCATGGCATGCCAAACATGAAAATATATTTTTTTATCTCGTCCCGTTTTATATCGTCTGCATACCAAACGCACCTTTAATGAACAAGATTATATGATATTGTAACCGCATCAAAACCAAAATAATGGCTTGTAATACTTACCTTAATTAACAACCATCTCTGATGTTGTAATTGAATCGTTGTGTCCACGTGAATCAATGAATAGAATCCCGTCACACGAAAACAAAAGTCTTCTCTTCTTCTCTTGTGTTGCTAAACTTTAACGACCTTATATAGACAATGGTTGTGAATAGAGAGCGAGATGTAGGACATAGTTTTTCTTTTCTTTTTCTGAATAGAAGAATACGGTCACCTACTTCGTCTATATATAGATGATAAGTTTCAAAAATTGGTAAAGTTTCACCCTGTTCTTTTTATATCTAATCAATGTTAGATATCTGATTTAATCCTATTATATTACGAGATAATTGCAAAAATGGTGCATCTCAAGCATGTCATTACACAAAGTGGCCCAATTAATCAGATTTGTTACAAATTGGTCCCCTCGTTTCATGAACTGCAAGACATCTATATTTTCCCACTTTTTTAAACTAATTCGAATATTGTCTCATAAGTTAGTGAAGATTTTGGTAGATCTCTTTATATTTTTCATTACCATTGTAAACATATATGATCAAAGTCTTTCCATTTTTAATTATATATTTATATTTCCATGCTTACTTTTAAATAAATATGGAAATCAAATTAAGTAAACATGGAAATATAATTAAGTAAAAAATGAATTCTGCTTTTGCTTTTTTTGTAACATTTATATATTTGATTGAATATGCATATGGTATATGATATTCAATTTCTTATTTTCATGATCTTTCTTTACCAACAAAGTTAACAAAATTCCTTTAATCCAGAGGGTATTTTGGTCTTTTTGTACTAGTTTTTTATTGTCTTTTTCCTATTAATAATTAAAAAAAAATATTATATAATATAATCTAATAACTTTTATTATTATTATTATTATTATTATGTCACTAGAAAGGTACTCGTGCAATGCATCGAGACACATCTTGATTTCAGTGTTTCTTTTTATTTCTTTTTTATGTCGATATAATACGGTTTTTATGTGGTTTTGAGAAAGCGATAATGTTTTTATTTTTGAATAAAATGTAAATTTGAAAATATCATAAAATTTTGGAATTTTTTTTTCGATATCAGTATCAAATTAATCTTTTTTAAAAGTTCTTGTGTTTTGGTATAATTTCCTTAAGAGATATTCACCAAAATGACCAAAAATATACTTGATATATTAACGAAATAGCCAACTTTTACCAAAATTGCGAAAATGCTCACACGGATCGCCCCCGGTGGGCGAGGTTTGACCATGGGGGCGATCCCCCCCTTTTTTGACCAAAAAAGTTCAAAAAAATATTAAAAAGTCAATTTGGTGGGTCCCATATGCATCACTTTCAAGAAACCAAACACTGTTTGCCTCGATTTTGATGAATCTACTTCCGGGGGAGATCCAAAATTTTTTTTTCACCTTTTTATTATTATTGAAGGGTGTTTTTAATAAAAAGAAAACGATATTTAAACTGTTTTTTATACCTTTTTAGGACCAAATTTCATGGTTATAGTTTATAAAATAAGACCATAATAATTGTGGACATGAAAAAATTATTTGTATTTGATTTGGGGGACAAAAATTAGATATTATATCTGATTTACGTAGTTTGACTGCTATTTTGTCTTTTAGTGTCTAAATCAATTTGACAACTAAGAGGTGTTTTTAATAAACAGAAGACGATATTTAAACTGTTTTTTTTACCTTTTTAGGACAAAATGTAATGGTTTTAGTTAATAAAATAAACCATGATAATTGTGGACATGAAAAAATTATTTTTATCTGATTTGGGGGACAAAAATCAGATATTATATCTGATTTACGTAGTTTTACCGCTACTTCATCTTTTAGTGTCTATGATTTGACGCCGATTTGACGATGATTTGACAATGTATTTTGTCTTATTACGTAACGGTTTATATAAATAGGCGGTCGGGAGAACCATAATCACCATCCCCACCGACATCCAAAATGGAATCGGTTTCATGATTTCTAACCAAATTGAACTCGGTTTTACATATGAAACTAAATATTGTTCAGTCAATGAAACACTTTAAGAACTGAATAATAATATTTCATTCATTTTTAAATTTGTTTCATATTTCCTAACCAAAATGGAATTGGTTTCATGGTTTATAGCCAAGATGAAATTGATTTTATTAATGAAACCAAATATGGTYYAGTCAATGAAACATTTCAAGACCTGAATACTATTATTTCATTAATGAATGTAGTTTCATGGTTTATAACCAAAATGAAATTAGTTTCATTTTTTAAATATTTTGAAAACTGTATAACGTGGTTTCATTAATGACATTTGTTTTACGAATGAAAACAAAACAATATATAAAACTATTTTCATTGTTTCTTGAATGAATTCATGAGACTCCTTGTCACCTTGAATTAAAGATAGACCATTTGACATGGTGTTGTGAACCATATATGAAACTATTTCATTTATAATTATTGAAACATGATTATACTGTTAATTATTTGTAATCAAACTGATTTTAGGAGTATAGTGTTACATTTCATATTTTAGGAGTATAATTTAATAAAAGAATATAAACTATTAATGGTAATAATTATATATTAAAATAAATTGATTTACAACTTCCATAAAAACAGTTACTATATTTAATTTTCCATATTTAAAAACAATTAAAATATTACCAAGATTAACCATTACAAAGTAAAATGACATTTATATCCTTATTCATTAAAAATAAAGAATAAAACATGAAATTTTTCTGTTGGTTGAAATTGGTTTCTATAGTTTTGTTAATCCTCTCTCTCAGTGATTTGATGATAATCCATTTTCACTTATACTTTGTATTTATGTTTCTGTCTTTTCAGTTCCAGCGACCTCCACTGAGTATGTTCAGTGATCGCTGAAGAACTTGCATTGTAAATCTATCAGAGACAACAATACTGCAAGAAGACAACACTCACACCAAAGAACCTTCAGCAAACGTCGAAGACTGAAACTGAAGATTAGAGACTGACGAGTATGTGATCTGAAGCGGTATTCAGTGATTACAAGTCTGTCTACATATGTGTGAAGATTGGTCAAGCTTCAGCGAATGATGAAGAGACCTTCAGGTCATTCCAGCATTCAGGGATCAAAGGAAGCTTGCTTAGCACAATTGTTGTTGTCTTGTCCTTATACACACAAAGAACAAAACCCATACCCTTATGAAAGTTGGTACGGTACGGAGCCGACTAGTCGACTCTATTGTCCACCAACTTTAGGTAAGGATGTCTGCTCATTAATAGTGTTTTTTGTACTAT